TAGTAGTAGTAGTAGTAGTAGTAGTAGTACGTAGTAGTAGTATATATATATATATATATATATATAGTATAGTAGTAGTATAGTAGTAGTAGTAGAGAGAGAGAGAGAGAGAGAGAGAGAGAGAGAGAGTTTTATTGATGAAGAGTTTCTCAGATTGCCTTTGACTGGTTTGTGTTGACTGTTGAACAACTGTGTTGATTTGAGGCTAAAAAGGCTCCAGGGGCAATATTTTACAATCATACACTTGGACTCCCTGAAAAATAGCCATGGGAACCTCTAGATATATCAACAACGTTATGTTCTGATTAGATGTCTAGGGACTTCCCCTAGAGAGGTCAATGCATAATCACCTCATGAACTGGTCCCATTGAGTTTCATCAAAGCAACTGTTCATGGGTTGGACCCAAGTTATGTAGGTCTAATGCAGAGGGATGAGCAAGATCCTCATCCCCAACAGATTAGTAGAATCCAGCTTTTCATTTATACCACTTCCAGTGTAGGGACTCACTGGTTCCCCTAGCCTTCTCATACTCTCTCTCATAATTAACGTAACAATCACATAATTATATGCATATTATCTGCGCTGAATTGTACTTAACTGGTAATCAATAACTTTCTCTAGAGAGTGGAAGTGGAAATTGGGTCACTTAGTTGAGATTGGAACTTTGGAGTTTGATTGAATGGGGCATCCTCCATCTTGTTCTTTGCATTCATCCAAAAAGTGGGAAAACTCCTAGTTCTTGACTTTCAGCCCCAATTTCCATCTTTGAAATTTCATGGTGCCGAATCTTACTCCTCAGTGCGTATATGTTGGATATCACGTCCCAAGTTCAATTATGCAGAACTATCCACCAAAAAAAGAAAAAATACCGTGCTGGATAGCGTACAGCAGCTTTCAATCCATGTCATAACAGCTTAGGAAATTGATGAAATCAAACTGCTGATATATTCACGATTCTATGAGTATTGTGGAATTAGTGCTACAATTATCTCTTTCACAATGATTTTTCTTTAATCACCATGCATCGCTTACTTAGATAATCCTTTTCAGAAAAGCATTCTCTGGGGCAGGAACAACGCTTGTTTTCAGCTTGAAACTCTTTTTGATTTAATTTCTATTATAAGATTGTGCAAATTTTTATCTCAAGAGTCAAAAGGTGTTTTTATTGTGTAAAAGACTCATTATGTATATATGACTTGGTTTTCCCATGACAGGCTCTCATGTACCCTTTATTGGTGGCTTGCAAATCTATAAGCTCATTACGTAAAGCGGCTGCTCAAGAAGTGGTTGACAAGGTTCGGCAACATAGTGGGGTGCTTGTGGATCAGGTAGGACTATACACTCCCTAGGAATTTGTAGTTTTATTTTAGCTCTTGGAAATCTGTATGTGCTATTTCTAAGGTTGCATATAAAATGGAATTGACTTTCTTGGTGCTATTGTCTTTGCTGTGACTTCCGTTTCTTCCCAATAACCAGGCACAGCTTGTATCGAAGGAATTGATTAGGGTTGCCATTCTTTGGCATGAGATGTGGCATGAAGCATTGGAAGAAGCTAGTCGTCTGTATTTTGGTGAGGATAATGTTGATGGCTTTCTTAAGGTTTTGAAGCCATTACATGAAACTCTTGAAAAGGGGGCTGAAACCATAAAAGAGACCGCATTTGTTCAGGTATGCCAAAGAAATATTTGTTTATCAGCATGCATTGGAATTGCCTGTTCAGAAAAACGTAGCACACATGTTTAATTGTATGTTCCATCATGTGCAGATGCCAAGTATCACATAGGATCGTTTTATTCAGTCTTTTTTTTTTAACAGTTTCCTATGTTTGCATTTATCTCTTTTTGTTTCATATCTTCATTTTGCGGATAGTAATGATTATTATGGTCTCATAGAAGCATGAGCAAGAACATAAAAGTTTTATCCATGTCATCATCATCATCAGAGCCTTATCCCAACTATTTGGGGTCGATTGCATCAATCTTGTTTCGTCATTCTGCTCTATCAAGGGCCATTCCCTCAATAAAACCATAAGTCCCTAAATCTTTTCTTACTACTTCCATCCATGTCCTTTTGAGCCTTCTCTTGCCCTTTTCGAGCCTTCCACTTGAACCAAGTTGCACCTCCTAAACAGTGTTGTGTTATGTCTATACTGCACATGGCCAGCCTACCTCAATTTACTTTCCCGTTTTTAGCCTATTGAAGCCACACTTAAGATCCCTTGAACATATTCATTTTAAGTTCTATCCTTTCTTGTCTTGCCACTCATCCATCTTAACATCCTCATCTCAACTACACTCATCTTAGGGAAATGTTGTTTCTTGACCGCTTAACATTTTGTCCCATAAAGCAAAGTTGGTCGCACAGGTGTCCTATAGAATTTCCCCTTCAGCTTCATTGTTAATGCGGCGATCACACAAAACTTTGGATGCACTTCTCCACTTCGCAGACCTAGCTTTAATTTTATGTACGACATCATCCTCAATATCTCCATTTTTTTGGATTATCGACAAAACTTTTATTCATGTATTTCCTTAAAATTACATAAAAATAGAATTTTAAATACTTCTGATAAAAATTGGTGGTTGGTTTGGATCCCACGCACATTTGCAAGGCTGATATTTTTATCTTTTGCCTCCTAACCCACTACATTCTTTGATCCCTTGTTGCTTTAGTCGCTTGCTTATTTCTATCTGTATAGATGCACGTAGCCTTTGGTGATGCAGTTGGCTCCTTTTTGGGAATTTAAACTAGGTTATTTGGTCCTTTAGCTTTTTAAATTATCTTATGGTATTTATGTTTTTCTTTTTTTTGTGGAGAATTGAGGTGTAGAGTTGGAAGTTTAATTTTGAGCAGATGAATGACTATGATTTCATAGTTTTAGGGTTTCTTTATGGAGCCAGTAAGGTTTGAAACTCATGAAAGGACTCATGTTAGGGTGGATTCATTACAGGCTTTGTGAGAGAGCATGAGGTCTCAATCTATTGTTTTTGTTTTTCTGTTGTTTACTTTCTCCTTTTGCATTGCATCAAGTAGTATGGGAGCTTCAAAAGATCCATTTATCATGATGCTACTTAAGAGCACTCTGGCAATTGAGGATACATTGTCACAAATCTTGGAGATTGTGAATTAGCAAATCAGAGACAGCGTAAATCAAGCCATTGAGAGATTTGAGAACAAAAAGCAATTCATAAATTAAGCCATAGAGCGAGTTTGAGAGAAGACTTTCTACTCTAAATCGGCAAGCTTCGAGTGGAGTTCAGTGAAATAAATCAGTTGTTGCAATGATTGGTGAATACTCCTTGTTGTAAAGAAGTTGATCCTAATCCATTTGATTGAATCCATTTGATTGAGTAACAAACTTCCATTGGAATATCAACCAAACATTACAAATTTCGATTTATCTTTATGAAGAAGACGACAATGTGGCTGTCATGTGAAATGCAGCCCCTTTGAGCTCGTAAGAAAAGTCATAATTGTGCTAAATTTTCCAAAGTTCCACTGCAAGTTATGAAATAAGTTCTCTAATTATTTTGTTGAAGTGGAAAGAGTACCCTAGTGAATGGTGGGACTTCATCACCAACAATTGAAAAAACACATGAATGATGTGATACAACAAGCTTGAGGCCAAGCTTCTCCCAACTCAAAGAATGATGCGATTAAGTTTTCTATTTTTTGGTCCGTTATGTTCTTCTTTAGGATATTGAGATTGGGGTTATTTGGTCTTCCAAGTTATCCTCGGGTATTTACGCCTTCTTGTCGTTGTAGAGAATTGAGGGGGTAGAGTTGGAAGTTTTATTTTAAAAAGATAAAGGATTAGGACGTAACAATGATTAGGACTTCTTTTAGAGCAAGTTAGGTTTTTAAGTAGTATTATTATTATTTAATATGGAAGCATTGGACAAGGAAAATAGAGAGAAGGATGTCACCTTTTTATCTTCCCCCCTTTTATAAACTTGTGAATACACTCATTTTGGATAATTCCGTGTAGCTCTGATAGAGCATAATCTCTCAGTCTTTTTTCATTTTTCTATTTGTTTGCGTTCTCCTGTTGTGATATGCCTAATTTCACAAAGTAGTGTTTGTATTTGATCACTTAACAATTTGACCAAATTGTGGTTCACTACATTGGGGCGTTTGATTTTTTTGTTGAGTTATAGTTTCATATTATGGTTCTATGGTTTGTTTGATTGTCCTTGCTGAGGCAAGGTTTGATGTCCGAGCCAAATTGCAATTTGGGCCTGTTTGGAACCTGCTATTTGACCTTAAATGATGTTTGATTCACAAATTTGAATTAAGAGTAATGATCCTATGGGACCTTCCCACATCTATGTGTGTAGGACACCAAAGGATCACCATTAAATTTGACACAGATTTCTAGAAAAGTTATCACATGGGTGTGGAACTTGACTTTTCTAGGGATCTGTGCCAAATTTAATGGTGATCCTTTGGGGTCCTACACACATGGGTGTGGGAGCATCTCACAAGGTCATTTCCCTTGAATTAATTCCCAATTATTACGAGGCCCCCAAAAAACAAATTCCACCACCATAACCATTGCCCCTACCACCACCACAACCACTCCACTGCCACCCACTCTACCACTGCCGTGGCCCCACAATCACCACCACCACTTAAGCCACCGCCATGACCACCGGTCCTACCTATCATCGCCCCACTTCCATCACCAACACCATCACTGTACCCCCACCTAGCCACCATGACTGCTGCCATCTCCACAATCACCACCACCACATCACCAGTCTCCCAGCTCTACCACAACCGACCACCAACACCATTGCGTCACCACCACCATTACAGAACATAAGTAAAATGTTACAATCAATCACCCATAGAGAGCAAATCACAGTTGACCAAATTTCCTTTAGAGAAAACACCATTTTGCAACACCATTTGCAAAATCGTGGTGTTGCAAAGATGATGGTGGCTGTGGCTTTGATGGTAGTGGTAGCTGTTTTGTTTTTGTTGTGGTGGTGGTGGTGATGGGAGTGGTGGCTGTATGGTGGTAGTGGTAGTGATGGTAGTGGCAGTGGTGGTGGTAGTAATGCTGGTGGTGGGTGGGTATGTGTGTGTGTGTGTGTGAGTGTGTGACTGTGTGTGTGTGTGTGTGTGTGTGTGTGTGTGTGTGTGTGTGAGGGAGATAGAGAGAGCATTCTCTTGTGAAAGGGGATCCTGATAAATATAATTTGCTTAAGTGCAAAAACTACTCTGAATGGGCCTCTACAATTAATTTTTTTATTTTTTAATATGTAATGACAGTCAAATTACAGTCTAAAAAATTGAAGACTTACAAAAATGGAATTGCAATTTAGCAAATTATAATTTCGTCCAAATAAGATCAAACAGGTCCTTAATATAGACATGCATTGGTGGTATAGATTGGACAGCTTTGGCCAGCAGCTTTTCATATTGTTGCACAGATAAATTAGATGTACCCTTGTGTGTACCATATTGATTTAACTTTGGGGTAATTTACTGGTTTGCCGACAGGCATATGGCCGGGAATTACAGGAGGCTTATGAATGTTGTCTAAAATATGGGAGAACTGGAAAAAAGGCTGAGCTCACCCAGGTACTTATTATTGTTGCTTCATGGAAAGAATGGTTGATTCTTCTCTGTTTATAGCAGATAGATGATAGAAGCCCTTTCTTTTAAAATTTGTTAGATCATAGAAGAATATTATTATGACGAGAGTGTATATTCAATGCAGGCATGGGATCTGTATTACCATGTTTTCAAACGTATAGATAAACAACTTCCTAGTCTTATGACACTGGACTTACAGGCAAGAAAAAAATGCAGAAATTTTTTTTCCCTTGCGTTTATTTGATATGTGGATAGCTTGCTTAGTTTTCTATATGTGCAGTCTGTTTCCCCAAAGTTACTCAACTGTTGCAATTTGGAGCTTGCCGTACCAGGAACATATCGTGCAGGTAATCGTGAAACAAGCACCAGTAGATACCCCTTTTTGTACCTAACTAATGGCATGTTGGCAGACAGAATTGCAGAAACACAGATAAAAACAGTAATCTTAAATACAGTTTGCAAAGATAATCAATGGCATGTAATTGGGTGGAAAAATTATAAGGAAATCTCATATGTTGGGAATGAGAAGATGAGATCATTTCTACATTTTTGAGAGTTAATGATATTTTGGACAAAATAGATATATCAAGGAAATGTAAGATATCCCATATAATTAGTGGAAGTAAGAAAAATGCCCCCAATATTTTATAGTTGATGTTCATTTTCCTTTTCTTTGCTTTGTTTCTACTTCCAAGATGCTCCTGGTTTGGAACTAGCAACTCTGAACTGATGTCTTCATTACCGATTCTTAATCTAGTTGGAACCCATGTTTTCGTGTAGAAAACATTGATTCAATTGGTGGCTCATATATGTTTTCATGTTTTGTTCACAAAAACACCAATTCGGAACTACTGGTTCCAAATCAGTGTTTGCAAAACCGGCCGATCTAACAGCTAACCGGCCGGTTAGATCGGACCTGCTAGTGGCCGGTTCCGGTTTTGGCCGGTTTTGGTGATCAACCAGTATTTTATACGTTAAATAGATTAATACTTCCAATTTATATCAAATATGTTAGGTTGGTTTATTGGATAGCATTAACAAGTACCTTTTACTTGAATCAGGTTCGAATCCCGCCACCAGCGTTCTTTTTAATGAGAATTGGTTCGTAAAAGCATTTCGTTGGTTCAAAATATTTATCCTCTTTTAATGAAGTCCTCTATTACTAGACACACTAACCAATATGCCATTAATTACTTAATTGATAAAATAAGGGCCTATATTATATATAACATAATGTTTTTTCATTTTCTTTAAAAAGAAAGGTCATTTTTTTAAAAAAAAAAGATCATTTTCTTTAAAAAAAAGATCATTTTCTTTAAAAAAAAAAGAGTTGGTCTAGTCGATTTTTTTAACACTATTTCAATATTCTTTACTTTATGGTAAAGATCAAAAAACATTTTGGTTACCACCTTCAGCTCTGTTTAGCAGTGACATTTAATTATCACATGTCTATTCCTATATTCCTAATTGGCATGCAGTCAATTATGGAATGGTATGTTATGGTAGATCCTTAGTGGCTGGTTCATCTTGTGGGTATGAACTGGGTGCAATATAGGTATGACTTCACTTAGGACTGGCAATCAGTTTGGTTCACCTGGACTAGGTCAGGGTATGGGTCCAGGCATTTGACCAGGAGGGTCGGGTCCAGGTCTAATATCCTGGACCCAAGTAGCATTTGGGTCGGTTCCAGGTCTAGGGCGACTTCATCCATATATATATATATATATAGGCATAAGGTGTTAATCTTAAATAATCCAAGTAAGGCACATCTTCAAAGTTTGTCGAAAGATGTAATTTTGGTGTTGAAAATTTCAGTGATGACTTAAAAATCTACTTGACATCTAATTATGAAATAAAAAACTCAAAAAATGGTGCAGATCAACCAGATCTAGAAACAGATGAAAATCTTGAGAATGGATGGTCTAGATAATGTATTACAAGATGTACCATTTTTTAGACTTTATAACCTTTCTTTTTTTTCACATTTGTACATCTCGAGGTCGAGATGATCAATTAGAGGGTTTTTTTAGCATTGGAACAGCCTTTTTCTTTGGATTTCTGATGCTTGCCACTTTTCTACAATATAAGGTTGCAACCTTATATAAAAACTTTCCAATATGTATATGTTAAATTCTTTTTGGACAATTGACATGGGACTATTGCATTAGTTTTACTTGATTTTTCTTGTAATTATCACGTTTTTAGGTAGAATATTTTTAATAATTTTAGGGCAATAAATTGTTACTTTTTCTATGTTTTAATATGGATCGGGTTGGTTCGATTCGGGTCGACCGGACACGAATTTATTTTCGGTTCGGGTCCGGGTCCTCCCAAATCAATTCTGGTTGGGTCTTGGTGGGGAGACTTTGGAGCCAGTTGGGTCCAAGCCTCAGTACCATAGGAAGGCTTTCAGATTAAGTCCGAGTTGGGACCCACCCGGATCTGACCCGTTCCCACTCCTAGCTTTATTGATATGGTACTGCATATTTGGTGAAATTGCTAAATTATGTGCTAACACACACATATATGAATATGACCATGTGTTACATACCAGCTGCACAAAAAATGTTTATCGTCTTCACAACCATCCATGAAACATCGTAACATTGTCAATCATTTATGGCGCGGATTATGGATATTACAGTATATTTGTACTCAAAGGTGCTTTTATTGTCAGGAACCCTGCTTATGGGTATCTACATGTGAAGCATTATGACAGTATATCACTGAACCAACTTTATATATATATAAAGTCAGTGGTTGGTTTCGAACTTGGGATTTCAGACGTATTGTTGCAATTGTCAACACCTTAACCGATCAAGCCAAGCTATCCCATTAATGAACTACTTCCATATACGAAAGTTTTCACTTCGCATATAATAATCCACAAAGCCTGAGAGAAAATACACCTGTTTTAAGCACTAGAATGCTGCAAAAATAATGGTGCTGAGTGCTTTCATTGTTGACTCAGAGACCTGTCTTTGACTTTTCAGGAGGACCATTAATAACCATAGCAAGATTTGCTCCACAGCTTGTTGTAATAACGTCCAAACAACGGCCTCGTAAATTGACCATTCATGGAAGTGACGGAGAGGACTATGCATTTTTACTGAAGGGTCATGAAGATTTGCGGCAAGATGAGCGTGTCATGCAGGTATGCCATGCTTGATGTAAACTATTCTACTGTTTGTAAATGTATTCTGCCACTGGGTTGGTCCATCATATACGACCGCACATGAATAAAAATCAGAATTACAATAAAAATCAGAATTACAAAAAAAACACGGGGTCAAAAACAAAAATGAGTCTCTTTTGTGCTCTTCATCCAAAATTTTGGTGTGAATGTCAGAAACATGGGCAAATAGTTCTTTGTATGTGTGTATGTATTCATGCACGTGTACTTTGCTGCATGATGTCCATCTTGGAAGTGCTGAAATGAATGGTTGAATTCAATGCTTTTGCTGTTTGGTCTATATCATGAACTTAATACATCTTTTCACATGCACATAATTTAATAAATTTGGTTTTATGGTTTAGCTTTTTGGCCTGGTGAATACACTACTGGAGAACTCCAGGAAAACTGCAGAGAAGGATCTCTCTATTCAACGCTACGCTGTTATACCCTTGTCTCCTAATAATGGATTAATTGGTTGGGTTCCAAATTGTGATACCCTTCACCATCTGATTCGTGAATACAGGGATGCTAGAAAGGTGCCATAAATACACTTTCACCATTTGTCTCAGTCAGCAATTGCATTGTAGCAGAAACCTTTCTGGCTTAATTGCTTCATTGTTGACTTGTGGTTGCAGATTTTCTTAAATCATGAGCACAGATTGATGCTGGCTTTCGCCCCAGATTACGATCATCTCCCACTTATTGCCAAAGTTGAAGTTTTTGAGCACGCTCTGCAGAGTACTGAAGGGAATGATTTAGCAAAGGTGTGGACAATAGTTTCATATTATTGGCAACTTTTTGCAATGGTTTTCGCCTGACCTTAATACTCCTTTTAACTGCAGAACATGGAATGCAAGGATTTGCAGTGTGTGTGTGTGTGTGCATGTGTGTGTGTGTGTGGGCTTGTGCTGTATGCATGTGTGTCTGAGGTCTTGTATGTGTGCGTGTGTGCATGCATGGGCACATGCCATTGTGTGTCTGTGTATGTTTGTGCTGGCGTGCACATACTCTCCCCAATATTGGATTCATTCTGAAAATGACCAATATCGATTATGGGTGACTGAAAAAAGTAATGGGATTTTGGATTTTTTGGCTTTTCTTTTTTGTAATTTATAGTTTCACAGTTGGTCAAACAGGAGTTTTGGGCATGTGTTAACTGCCATCAGATAAGCAGCC